GTTGCGATCCGTTGCCGGACACAAAAAAAGACAAAAAGGAAAAAAAAAAAAAAAGAAACAATATGACTACACAATTAATAAAGACAAACATCCCCAGATCTTGGGTAACAATGGCATATCACATTCCCTATTCCATGTATAATTTTTTTAGTTTTAAAAAATTTTTATTAGGGTGATAAGATGAAGAATGGGTTGGAAAGGTACCCTTTCCAAAATAGAATGCTTTCTTTTTCTTGTTTTCAACTTTTATAATGATAATAACACCCCATGTTTAATGTCTATTTTCATTATTCTGAAAAAGTCTGCAACAATAGAGGGGAAAAGACAGAGAAGTCCACAGGGACCAGGCTAACTGCCCAGAAACAGGTCAGTAGATCAAGAGCAGGATAACAAGACCCAGGTCCGTGAGAACAGGAGAATTGTGGAAAGATGGAATGGGACATTTGCAGTCATCAGGCTTATGACTGGTTAGCGGGCAAGTAAGAATTTTTGCACTGAATTCTTAGAAATCTATGAGTAGTAGCAACTGCACAGATGGTTGCTGACCAATGATCATTCTGATAGAATCAATATATTCTAACATTTATTAGCTTTTCTTCATTAGTGTAGAATAGAATACACTGTAAAAGTTATCAAGTGGTATCAACTACACACTAGTGGTATTCTTAGTAAAATTTCATCATGTAATATAAAAGTTGCTTATATTGATTAATATAATAAATATGGTATATATATTTGGGGGGGGGGGTGTGCACCTGGCCAATATCGGGATCTGAACCCTTGATTTTGGTGTTATCAGCACCATGCTCTAACCAACTAAGCTAACTGGCCGACCCTGGTGTATACATTTTACATGTGATTTTCAGGTAATAATTACCATAACTTTGTTGACTTCATTAACCAAAAGTAAAGTAGACAGAATAAAAAATCAGAGCAGGGAGGAGAAAGAGGAATAGTAATGCTTATGGAGTGAGTGTGGGAAGGGTGGCTGGATCTGCCTGGGGACCCAGGTTCCAACCCTAGCTCTACCAGTTGGTACCTCGGAACCTCTTCCTGCCTGCGGCTTCAGCTTCAAGTGTGGAGATGGGGTGAGTCTCTCCAACTCTAAAATTCCATTACTCTGACATATACTTTAATGAGTGTAACACATCATCTATCAAGTATTAGAAAAAGGTAGAGAGGAAACAAAATGGAGTGACTACAAATTACAAAAGGAGACAACATCACCTGCCAGTGACAGGACCTGTCTCTCTGTCACTGAGGTATCTTAACCTTTTAAAGGTCACAGACCTGATGATCTGGAAAAAAACCACTGTCCTATCTATAATCACAAGGGACAATTCCAAGGGCTTCACTGACAACCTCATGTCTGATCCATGGACCTTTGGTGACAAACTGCTCTTCTACAGGATTAATGTCATACGCTTCAAAGCCAGGGTAAATTCATAAGTGGCAGAAGTTCCCTGTCAAACCTAAGTAATATTTAATTACTCCTGTTCTATAAAATGGCTGTCATGGATACCAAACCAAGAGCTTGATAAAAAGTGAGATCAGGACAGACATACTGCAGGCATGAATTTGTTGGATATAACGGGGGAATTAGAAGTCTTAAAAAAAAAAAAAACATTGTTTTTCTCCTGGGGGTTGGGTGTCTGGACTGTGCACTTCATCATCTTTTTATCTATTTGTTTACTTATGTATTTAATTGTCTCTATCTTTGTATGACTTTCAGACTTTCCTCACATATCCAAAGTAGTAAATTCAAATGTTAAAAATGTATTGACAAAATGAGACCCTCCCAGCTGCTTTCACGGCTGCTCCAAGTTGCTGAGCCCCAAGAAACGGCACGCTGTGAGGGCTCTCTTTCGGGACTTATTGCCCACGTGACTTAATGGCTTTAAAGACATGTGCTCCCTGAACATTAGAGAAGTGTCTGCAACTAAGCTGGCCGATGACGGGAAGGCAGCAGAAGACTGTAACACAGCAGCTGGGAGAAGGCAGCTTAGTGCAGAGGGGGGTGTCAGTCCCACCCAAGCCCCCCAGTAGCAAACCAACCTCAAATTAAAACATCTACAAAGTAGCTGCAGTGATCATTTTTCTTTTGTAAGGGGAGAACTACAACTTGAAGTTAACTGCCTATTTTGATTCCGTTTTAATAAGTAACTCATTTGCTGACCTGAAATCTGGAGAAGCCCATACGCATCTTATCACTACCTGGGCAGTTCCCGCAGACAGCAGGTTTGCAAAATAGGACTCATGCTGAAGAATTGGATATTACACAATATTCAAAACAAGATCTAATTACAGTGTAATCACATGAACACTTACACTACCTTTTCTTTCTAAACCAAGTTTAGATAAGACATTTGCTTGATGTAAAAGCAAAGAAAATAGAGAATTGGATATTACACAATATTCAAAACAAGATCTAATTACAGTGTAATCACATGAACACTTACACTGCCTTTTCTTTCTAAACCAAGTTTAGATAAGACATTTGCTTGATGTAAAAGCAAAGAAAATAGAAAATATGTTTAATTTTCAAAGAAAAAAAAAGCTTACTTCTGCAGCTGTTTCAGAAGGTTCTTCAGGTAAATCAGGAACCTACAGAAAAGATTTGGTGAAAGAAACAAAAACATTTTCAAAAAGCAAAAAGTAATCTCAATGAGAAGAGTTCCTTTCAATATAGTTTAGACACATCTAAGCTTAATGAAATCTTTTCTTTCAACATACATCAATAAAGATTTAAAACTAGAACAGATTCTTAGATTACACATATAGGTGAGATCACACAGTGTTTGTCTTTCTGTGCCTGGCTTATTTCACTTAGCGCAATGTCCTCCAGGCCCATCCAAGGTATACATGAGAGACTGGTCAACAGGTACACAGCCTCTGTGACACAGGAGGACTAAGTCTTGGTGTTAAATTGCACAGCAGGACAACTAGAGTTAACAATATTGTGTACTACAAAATAGCTAGAAGAGAGGTTTTTGAATGTTCTCATCACAAGAAATGATAAGTTTAAGATGATACATATACTAATTAGCCTGATTTGATCATTACACAATGTATACATGTATCAAAATATTATGTTGTACCTCATAAATTTGTATAATTAAAAATTAAAAAGTTTACAATGAAAATGAGAGCTCCATTAATAAACATTTTTGAGTAAGCAATTTTGTGCTAACAATACATCATAAAATAGGATATGAGAGGACACCTGCCAACCTACACACATTTAAAGAATTTTATCTTTATGATGTTCCAAGTTATTATATAAAAACATACTGTTTAAAGAAACAGAGGATAAATATTAACATGAATTAAGTTCAATAATTATTTAGGTTCTCATATATACACATTTTAACATAAATACATATTTTCTGCCACTGACACTCGTAGGGGACTGGGCAGCAACCACGCACCTTGATTGCTTTTGTCATTTACTCACATTTCCCTATTTCTGTTAATCTGTTAAAAAACCAGATGTTCGGACCATTCTCTGTCATCCGAACACCAACAACCCTTTCTATTTTTTAATACCACAGACTCTATGTTTTATAACATTTTATCTATCACATATTATTTGCATTTATTAAAAAATCCATATTTACCATCAGCATGAGATAGTGTTATTAACAAATAATAAAGAAACTTCAGCTTTTTTTTTTTTTTGGTGGCTGGTCCATATGGGGATCTGAACCTTTGACTTTGTTGTTATCAGCACTCTTACCAAATGAGCTAACCCCAAAACTCAAATTTTTAATTTTTAATTAACATATAATTCGTTAGATCTTTTTGAAATTTTGGTTAATAGTTTAATAACCCAATTCCTGCCCTTAAGCTCCACTATGGGAGCAGGAAATCTCAGATTGAGAAGTAATATATCAGAAACTACTTTCAGGGAGTAGATAGCCTCCCAGCTTTCAGTACGAGTCAGTAGAAACAGATTTCTTATTTCCAGCCTTTTCCAGCTCCACATCAGAATCAATTTAGGGATTAAAGATTTGAAAGAAAAGCAGGAATAATAAACCTGGGCACTATTCCAAAGTGAATGATTGCTAACCCAATCTCCAGAAGGGCCACTGAGGGAAATTACACACACATGTTAATAATAAGTATTATTATTAACATGAGTGTGTAATATGGCTTACTCACAAAATATGGCTTCATAAAGTCTTAGGCTACCTAACAGAAACGCTTTCTTTAGCAAACATTACTTTTCATTTCTACAAAACTATGAGTATTTTCTAAACCTATTACTTACCTTCCTAGCTTCCCCCTAAGTTTGGCTCAGAACATTAACATTAAACAGAATAGCTGATTCCTAATGAAGCTGATCACTTGGGAAGGTGGTGGGAAGACACCACCAGGATTAAAAGCCAGTCCTCATCTCATCCAGTATACCAACTCGTCTAGAGGACAATAGTCCTACCACACATGGCTACAGTTCAGAGCGTAGGCATTAAGTAACAAACCTTGTTCTGCGTGGGCTGTTCAGCAGGTGGTGAAACTTTAGTTAAAGGCTTAGGTAATTTCCGTTTCTTTGCGGCGTCTCTGTTTGATGTTTCAAAACATGTGTGACTCGCATTTTCAAGCACCGAATCTTCATCACCCTGGCCAAAAATAACACTTTTTAAAGAGATGCTTTGTATAAACATTATTCTACTCACAATGGTTATTTTTTTTTTCCTTTTTGTCTTTTTTCGTGACCGGCAACGGATCGCAACCCTCAGTGNCACTGTAGCAGTGCGCCACCGGGCCGGCCCACAATGGTTATTTTTTTTAAAAACTGATAGTATTTCAGAAGAAAAATATAAATAAGCCATTACTAGCCCCAGAAAATTAAAACATTTATCTCCTTGCATAAGAAAAAATGGGACTTAATAGAAGAAACCACCCTTATCCAGTTCTGGGGTTCCCTCTGATAGACAAAAGGCTGACATGATAGGTACCTTTTACATCTCTGATAAGCCCCCAAGTTTCTCAGTAGGATGGAAGAAAGAAAAATGCCTGAATGATATCTCTATTAGTCTGATTTTGTTACTTATGACACAATACCTGGAACTGGGTGATTTGTAAAAACAACCAAAATTTATTGCTTTCAGTTTCAGAGGCTGGGAAGTCCAAAGTCCAGTGAACACATCTGGTAAGGGCCATGTTGGTGATGACAGTGACACAGGTCTCACATGGCAGAATGGCGGAGCAGACGGAGACAACTTCTCATGTGCTCTTCTTTTAAAGCCCTCAGAACCACACCTTTGACTACCACTAAACCATCAACTTAATAACCTC